CTTGGGTTCCTGAGACATTCTTGGTTGTATGCGCGGGAGAGAGGCAAAGTGCTGTCCCAGAACACGACGCCGGTATTCTCCAGGGCTTGTTTATAGAGGGCGTTGTACTCTCGGATGTGGTCGACGGTGAAAGATTTTACTCGTGGTTTTTCGATATAAGCCACCTGGGGAAAGAGATTGTTATTGTTATTAAGCATTCTTGTTTCGGCCTTTGGTATTTGAATTGGTAGTGTTGATATGTCTTTTTCTCACTGTAATCTTTTCTTGCTATTATTGTAGTTATTATATTTTGCAAGGTACCTCGGTATTATCGCAGGCTGTCTAATTTGCATACTGCAATGCTGAGACCAATGGTATCTTTAGTGATCATTGGGCTGTGAGTATATTCCCTCATTTCGCAAAAGATATTCACTCCTTGCACTATTATGGCATCATGTTCTCATCACTAAACTGCATACCCAAAACGTTACCCTGGATATGTCTCCATATCTTTGAGGCAAACTTTTAAATGGTATAAAAAATAAATAACCTTAAAATAATACGGTAAGCTGTCAGTCAGCTAATATATTTGACACGCAACTGCCACTTAACTAGGAATTATGCTTTTTAACAAGGTGCTCAGAGACTGAAACCATAGAAAGTAGCCCCATCCTCATAAATGGTTTGAGGTCGTCTTCCTCGATAACTCCGCCTCTCACCCATACACAAGTGGTCTCAAATCTAAACACGAAAATGAAATAGAATATCAGTTTTTTTTTGTGGATCAAGAACATGATCCTTTCAAGCCAACCTGTGCGACAGCCAGTCTGCCTACCACTTGCAAACAGGTAACTATAATATTCATCTGAAAAATCTAAAAAAAAAAAGCCCAAGGAAACACGAGATTCTCCTGACGTGGTGTCTCTTTAAAACCTGCGAAAAAAATCTTTTCTTTTTACTCTGTGATATTACAGATCTGACCCACTACTTGCATAGAGATAAATTAACAAGAAAAATGTTCAGCACAGTACTTAAATGAAGGCAATTTACAGCCGACATTATCTGCAGAATGTATAAGTGCGTCTGCAAGGAGCTACCAAAGTATAATTCCCAATCTATATACTAATTATCTTAGGGGTTAAGGGCACGTCTCTTAATCGATAGATGATAATGCAACTTTAAGAAAAGGAAAAGTACTCTCAGGGAGGTACTCTCCAGATCTATTAAAAACATAAATATAAATATAACTACAGCATTAACACAAAAAAATGTATCTTGCTGATGAAATTGTTGTATCCAGAGAATACAACTTGTAACTGGTATGATCAGTGATATGAAATTATTTTTCGTTCGTCCCTTTGTTTTTTACTGACAAGGTAAGATTTGTAAATGTATATGTTTAAGTATATCCATATACTGCATGTATATATGTATATGTATATGTATATATATGTATATATGAATATGAATATATATATATATATATATATATATGTATATCATATTCACACATTCATGCACAAATCTATGCATATTAATCTTAGTCATAGGGCATCAGTACTCATATACTCCAAGATACCTGAAGATCGTCTTGCATTTTGAAGATGACAGTTGCTGTGCGGGCGAGACGGGAGATTACAGGTGCGATGGTGTGCAGGTGTTTCTCGAATATTTTCCCAGCTGTTTTCACTCCTTTCTCCAGGTAGGTAGATTCGAGGTAGCGCATCCAGTGGTTTCCTGTGTCTGTTGGAATGGTAAAGGGGTAGATGGTTCATTTTGGAGAGTGAAACGTCGAAAATGAAATGGATGATGATGGTGGTGATAATGATACAGATGGTGATTGTGATGATAAATATGGTGATGGTGATAAAGATGGTGATGATGATAAAGATGGGGATGATGACGATGATGACGACGACGATGATGATGGTGAGGATGACAATGATGAGGGTGATGATGATGATGGCGATGATGATGATGATGGAAATGGAAATAGAAAGAGAAATAATCAATAACAAGAACAACAATAATATTAATATTACCAGACAAAACCTTTTCTCACAATTCCTTACTCATTACAACGAAATTGGGCCTCGGGCGTTCTTCCGTCTCCCACTGCTGCACCAGCTTTGGCAAGTTCGTCAAATAAACGTCATGGTAGTATGTTAACGTGAAGGGTGAAAAGACGTGACGAATCATGATAAATTCGCCCTTATACTGACAGCTTGGCAACTTGTCTAGGAAGTAATCTATGTTCCTCCATTCCCCCTGTTGAAACATAAAGGAAAGGATTACACACGTGTGCATGTGTGTAATACTGATATATGTACACGTATGCATGTATAAGAGAATTACATAAGTGTAAAAATATAACTAAACTCGTGCTCTCTTCATAAGAATGCGAAACCTGTAGATAGGTTGGAATCTAGTCAATATAATCTGAATGTATACGAACTGCACGAGTGAATGCCGGGGTTCTGAAGATATTTCGGCCCCGGCGAAGAGAGAGAGAGAGAGAGAG